TACCTGTTAAAAATGGCCAAGCTTGAAAAAGACAGGTTAATTAAGTTAATACTCCTCCTCCTCTTCTGATCTGCTCCTTGGGAGCAAATTCCGCTGGATTTAATGGGTTTTTGTTATTTTAGGCGCACGCAGCCAGGTATTTTCCACGAAATGCAAGATTGTGCCCTTAAGCAAACTCCTTTGTGTAGAATAATAAAATAACCTCTTTCACAAGCACACCCTTATAAAAAGGTGCGCAAATGCTAAACTCGCAGCCTTGCAGCAGATACGAGGTTGTGGGAAAACACAATTATTGTCATTTATTTTGGAAACAGGGTGAATTTCCTTGCTGTTTCTCTGCATTTCTCTGGGGTTTTTTTGCACCCTTTTGCAAGGCGGCTGTTTTTTCTGCGTTCTTTCCTTAGTAATCTTACTTTTTTCTTTTCTTTTTTTTTTGCAGAAGATAGGAAGCTACGAAGATGCCCCGGCGGAAGGCAGATGCAGCCAGTTCAGGGAACGGCACAGGGACAGCGCGCAAACGGGCGAGCACCGGCCGAGGGGGCCCGCTGACCGCCAAGAAGAAGAACCGAAGCGGTGGGGGCAGCAGCAGCAGTAGCAGCAACAACGGGGGCGGGGGCAGCAGCGGAGAGGAACAAGACGGGCTGGTGTTGCCGCTGCTGTCCGCCCCCGGAGGAAGCAAGAAGGCGCCCCGGGCCGGAGGGCGAGAGCAACAGAACCCGCCCGGCTTGCAGTCACCCCAGGCCGCCGTGGTGGTCAACGAGCCCGAACACACCAAGGAGCGCATTGTAAGGGGAAGATCTGCCTTGACCTATCTGGGAAACGGGTCTAGGGTTGTACACGGGGGTGGGATTCCAAATTGCACACTCCTGGTTCTGCGCCCTCAAAGATCGTCCTCGCGCAGGGCTGTTTTTGAGCTCAGCTGAGGCGCAGCAATCTGCTCGGCTGTGCGAATCAGCTCAGCTAAAAAAAATAAAGGGGAATAAAGGAAGGGAAAGAGCAATGGTGGGCAGATAGGGCCAAACAGATGTGGTGTTTGCCAGTTCGCTGAACTGGTCGAAATTTCCACTACCGGTACGCCAGAACCGGTCTGAACTGGCTGAATAGCACTCCTGGTTGTGAGTTTGCAAATGAATGAATGAGTTGTGAGTTTGCAAATGAATTAATGTCATTAAAAAGACCAAACTCATGAAAGCAACCTCTTCCTCCCCGTTGTTTGTCCCCACCCACAGAAAATAAAATAAAAGTTCTCCAGAACAGACTACAGACTGAAATGCAGGATTAAATAGCATGTTGTTGGCCAGTTTTAGCTTTTTCTTTCTTTTTTGCAAGCTTTAGCTTTTTTATTTTAAAAAATAAATTATTTATTGAATGCTGCATCCTTTCATTTTCATCCAGACTACAAATATGGGAACTTCTTTCTCTCTTTGGGATCTGATCCCCTCTGGTTTTTGTCATGGTTGAAAAGTTGTGCGAACGCAGAAATTTTGCGGTTTTACCCCCACCCTCCTCCGATTTCTGCCTTTCGCTGGCAAGTTTTCCACAAATTAAAAACTCATAAAACAGCTATGCGTGTTTCCTCTTTTATTTCTACTTGGATTTTGTGCTTGAGGTGGAAAATAATGAAACTCTGATTTTGGGTTTTACCGATTAGATTTGTTGCTACAGAAATGGTTTGTTTCTATTATTACGAAAAAGTAAAAAGTTGAAGGTAGATCTTAATACCTTATTCAACTGCACCAAAGGAGTCGGAAGAGACTATCCACGTCTCTTTTTCCACCCCTAATTCCCTAATGATTGCTTTTGTATTCTTTTTGTATGTCACATTATAAAATAATAAAACTAGGGGGAAAAAAAACCTGTTTAAAAAAAAAAAGCTATCCGTGTTTCTTAAATAAATGCAGGGTTCTCTTTACTTTTGTCGGAGGCTAAAAGGTGCATCTTGTCTGCTAGGGGTGCTTAAAACCCTCCCGTTTTCTGCTGTGGATTTCGACCCACGCTTTTAGCTTTCCGCTTTTAATTCCTGATTCTTGGGACTTGACACAGCTCACACCTAAAATCAAATGCTCTGTTTTTGTTCCTTTTCAGAAACTGGAAGGCTCGAAATATAAAGGACAGCTTTTGATATTTGGAGCCACCAACTGGGACTTGATTGGCCGGAAAGAAGTCCCCAAACAACAAGGTGAGGAAGCTTTTGTCGTTTCTGGATTTAATGATCTTCCTGCATGGAAACACAACGAAGGAAGACCACAATTCCAGCCACCTGTGGCTGCAGCCGATTGCTCTTATGTCTAAGCGAAGATCTGTGACTGGATTCAGACAAGTGGGGCTGTTATTGTTTTAGGCTGGGTGTCTTTAATGGTCTCCATTAGACTTTTATTCCAGAAGAAATATAAAACCACCCCTTTTTTGGTAAGTTATGGGAAAGCCTGATGATGTTTTCTTCCTCCCCTGGAGCACTGCCTTTTTAAATAAACACAGGGCAAGAATGCACAGGGAGCCACCCAGAAAATAGACTATTTTTTAAAAAAAAGAAATTAAAATCATTTTGGCCAGTTTAAATGGTGGAGAGTTTGGGAAACCAAAAACAGCAGTTCCTAACGTGTGTGTGTGTGTGTGTACTAATCACTAATGCATCATCACAATCTACAGATCTCTAAAACCTACAAAGTTGAAATACGGCACGTATTTCTAGGCTTCTAGGTCCTTGGCTCTTGCCTTCTAGGTCCTCACTAAGAAAGGATTTTTTGAAATGACCATCAGAGCATTTAGAGTATTTCCTATATTATTATTATTAACACGCTCTGATGCTAAGGAGTTCTACTCCCCCTCCCCACCTGAAAAGAAATCTCTTCCAAATGCAAAAGACAAGCAGAGGAGAGGAGTTTCCATTTTAATTTCACAGCAGCAACCAGCTTTAGTACGGAACAGTTGAGCTAAGCCACGCCCAGTCTCCTTGCTCACACAGCAAATACTGTTTCAGTTTCCAAACAGCCCTCAACTCACACACTGACAGGACACTAGCCAGATGAATACCGATGGATGCTGGTAGGCAGAGGCAGAATTTTTTTCTCCTTATTTTCCTCCCCAAAAACTAAGCCCGAACATAAGGATGAGAATTAGAATAATGAATTAAATTATTTATTGGCCAAGTATGATTGGACACACAAGACATTTGTCTCCAGGACATAAGCTCACTCTGTGTGTGTGTGTATAAGTAAGATAGATAGATAGATAGATAAGATTAGATAGATAAGATTGATTGATAGATAGATAGATAGATAGATAGATAGATAGATAGATAGATAGATAGAT